AGACGAAGAGGGGGATCACCCTCGCCGGGCGTCTCGGCTGGGCGGCGCGCCAGACGGTCGCCTCGCGCCGGCGCGGCTGGCCCACGAGCGAAACAAATCGCCGCCGCGAACCCTTGGACGCAGGACCGAGGAGGAGAGAGGAGGAGGAGGAGGAGGAGGAGGAGGAGGAACAGGAGGAACAGGAGGACCTGCGCTGCAGCCCGGCAGCGACGAGGAGCCCCAATCCCGCTTCGGCAGGCGGCATGGCCGCGCCGCAAGCAGCACGCTTGCCAAAGAAGGTAGCTCATCCACAACACTGCCGGCGCCCCTGGCCCAAGTGGACACACTTCGGACGACGACAGCGGGCTGGGCAGAAGCAAAGAAGGCCAACGGCAAGCAAAGTGGGCCGGCGAGCCGGGAGCGACAGCCAAGCCCAGGAGGGCGGAAAGGGGAGGGAGACGACCAGACTGAAGGAGGCACGGAGAGAGAGATGGGGGAGCCGAGAAAACCGAAAGCCAAGGAGGGAAAAGGCAGCGCCCACGCACAAAGGCAGGGAAGAGAAAGGAAGGGGAAGAGCACGCAGCCCAGTGGGCTCGCACGCAGAAGGGACGAACAATGGAGAGAGGAGGGGGGGCGAAGAAAAGGGGGAGGAAGAAGAAGGGGGCGCTCTTTCCCAAGCCTCGGCCTCCCCAGCCAGCGCCTGCCTGGGTTGGCGGCCGCTGCAGGAGCCGCCCGGGGCGTCCGCGGCGGCCCAGGCGCCGCGTGCCGCCGGCGCCGTCGGTCGCGCACGCCTCGGCGTTCGTCGTGGATTGAGCACCCGCAAGTCGCCCTGGAAGACGAGGCGGCGCGGCCTGGCCGCTGGGCGGCCCGGGCCCTCGAGCACGGTTGGCGAGGAGCAACGGCCTGCCGGTGCCCTCGCGGGCGTCGAAGGTCGGCGGGTCGGGGGGGCTGATCTGGGGCCCGCTGCCCCGGCGGCGCACCTCCCCCGTCGCCCTCGGCGATCGCCGGCGCGCCCAGCCCCAGCCGGCAAAGATGGATGCCTCACTCATGCCCACTGCCCAATGGCCAGCCTGATGCCCCGAACGCAGCTCGCGTCCGCGAGGCGCCCCTTGGCGCAGCTGCAGATGCTGCCACTTGGGCAAATCTCGAACGCCCTCATGGCAATCGGCCCGCAGCTGCACGCCGCGCGCCCCGATTTGTTCTCGGAGAGACTGCATCCACCCCGCGTCCGCGGCGCGCCCTGTGATGGGCCAGAAATGCCGCAGAGAAGCTGCCGAGCAAACAAAAGCGGGAAACTTCTGAAAATAAGACCCCCCCTCGCAAATACGGCTCGACTAGGACTACCCGCCGAGCTCCAATATCGTGGGCGCACCTACGAAACGTGGAATGAAATGCGACGCCGGCGCGGCCCGGGGGGGCGCGGCGCGGGCCCGGCGAAGGCGCGCGCGGCAGGACAGGCTCTGCCACCGCCACCGCGCCATCTCCTCCATCGCAATGCCCGCGTTGGCCGCGCTGCTGGGGGGCGGCCGGCACAGGCGGCAGGGGGCGCCTCCACTGCAACTTCGGCCCAATTGGTGGCATGTTCATGCCGCAGCTGAAACGGGGCACGCTGCACTCCAGGTCGGCCTCCGCCCCCGCCTGGCCCCGCGACCAGGCCGCGGTTGCCGGGCCCCCGTTCCCCCCGCGCTGCGCCCGGTCGATGCGCATCGACCGCCAGGCTGCGCCGGGGGGGGTCCGCTTCCAACGCCGAGCGCAGTGAGCGTCGCCCTCCAGCAGCGACATCCGACACCACGGTCACTGCCCGACGCCCTGGGGCCCGCGCAGCAAGCTGATAACGCAGAGCAGAACCGCGTAGACCCACTCGCCACCTGTGCTGGGAACGCCTTCGCGACCATCTGGGCCGGCGGTGCTCGGGCATCCGTTTTTTGCTGACTGACCGGCGCCTCCCCAGCGCGGCTATCTTCACGCTCGCGCCACTTCCCGCGGCCATATTCGCGCTTGCGCTCCTCCGGCGGACAGGATGGGCGCCGTCGAGCCGCGGCAGCTCGTCGCTGTCGTCGTCGCCGCGCAGCTGGCGTCTCCCACTCCTGCTGCCGCCGCTGCCGCCAAACGCGCACCGATTCACCCGGGCGCGCATCGGCCGCCCTCGCCCAAGGGTCGGCTGCCTGTAGCGGGTCAGCAACGGGCGCCTCTCGCGCCCGCCGGCCACCGCGCCTGGCGCCCGCGGCAATGCCAGGAAGAGTGAAACAGGTGTAGAATCGAGAGAGGGACAAAGGGAAAGGCCTCCTGGCGGCACGCGGCTTGAGCCAGAGCGGCTTGAGCCAAGATGGCTACGGGAGACTGGTGGGCATACCGAGCGCAAGCGGGAGAGCCGCGCGCCGTCAGGAAGATGCCAAGAAACAGAAAGTTAAATTATAGCGGCCAGGAACGAGGCCAAGCGCGTGCAGCGAGCGAACGGCCGAAAATTGCAAGCGACGCACCGGGGCTCAACCGCCGCTCAAAAGACGAGAACAACCGAGCCCAAGTGGCGGAGTGCTCGACAGCGCCCAACTGCGACGACGTCACCCTCGACGAACTTCTCCTCGCCTGCGACACTGCATGTGCCGTATGTGGAGCCAGAACACCACCGCAGTCGTCAGGAACGATATCGCGTACCACATCACGTAAGCGTGCGGACCTCCAAACTAACTGGTGGGCACACGTGAAGCGCCTACAAATTGCTGGCCCCAGAAGGCCCCAGGACGGGCCAAGAGGGCCCCACGAGGCCCCCAAGACGGCCTCAGAGGGGTCCGAGTCATCGAAAGATCGCTCCAAAAAGCCCAAGATGGCCCCAAGGTGGTCCAAGAGGCCTCCAAGAGGATTCCCAAGAGGATCCCCAAGAGGCCAAAACCATTGATCTTCCATCGAAGTTCGAAAGATCTGGGCGTTCTCACCTTTTCGGCTGTCGGACGCTCCGTGACGGCCGAAACAAAAACCCCGCTGACCACCCCAAAACGGCCAAAGAGGCATCCAAGAGGGCTCAAAACGGCCAAAGAGCGCCCCCAAAAAATCCCCAAGTGGCGCTCAAGACAGCCCAAAAAGGCCCCAAGACGACCCCACAGGGACCCACGAGAGGGAACGCGAGCCGAAACTCCAAGGCTTCAGGCCCAAGAGGACACCAAGAGGCCCCAAGAGGCCCCAAGAGGCCCCCAAGAGCCTCCAAGAGGCCTTCAAGAGATCCCAGAAGGCCCCAAGAAGCCCCCCCCCAAAAAAGATTCCAAGGAGCCTCCAAACTGCCTCCGCGAGGCCCCAGAGAGGCCGCCCACGATATCCCAACGAAGCTCCAATAGGCTTCAGACCCGCAACCCAGGCACGATGGCGGGATGGGCTGAAGGTCATTACCCATCGGTCGGAAGAAGTAGGTCGAAACATGAAGTAAAAAAGGCGTTGAAAAAAGAATGGGTGTCCGCCCGCTTCCTAAGAGGACGGAAAAGGTGAAGCCACTCGATCATTGAAGTAGGAAGCCGCTTCACGCATATTGGAATATGTGAATCCACAAATGCCTACTTTCAGCCACCGATGGGTTGATACTTGCTCTGCACTGGCCCAAGAGATGCCCCAATTTGTTTGACCACTATTCCATACGACGCCGAAGCGGATCCAGTCGTGGCGGCGAGCAACCCCCCTGGGGGGCCCCGATGACGGCGATCCGCCGGGACGCGTGGGCCGTCCTCATCCCTCCTCCTCATCCCTTCTCCTCCCTCCTGCTCCTCCTCCTGCTCCTCACCTTCCTCCTCCTTCTCCTTTTCCCCTCCTCCCCCCCCTCGGAGGGAGGCCGCGCGGCAGGGGGGTTGAGCAGGGACCGACCGTCCCGGCATAACCTAAACATGCCTCAGCCAAAAAGACTCTGAAAACATTTCACGCAGACCACAAGAGGTCCTGAGAAAATTTCACGCAGACCACATGTTTCTTAGAGCACTCTTTGGTTGGCCTATAGCCTATAGGTTTAGGTCGGGCATGTCCCCCTACAGGCAGATCCTGGAGGAAACATGACACATCCAAAACATGCTCAACAATGGCCCAACAAAAACAGAAACATCGTCCCAAGACTATGTGTTGCATTATCTTTGGATATTCCTCCTGTAGAGGGACATGCCCGACTTTACTATTGGCGAGCCAGGACGCTTCGCCACTGCTTGAGTCACGTTTCTCCCATCGCACTTAAGGACCACATCCCAGAAGTACATCATTTTGAGCGCCCAGAAAACTCTCGAAACAGTGTCGAACGATTATGGCCTCCCAGGGCCCGACACGCGAAAACCCGCCAAATTTCTGCACTTTCGAAATTATTTCTGGCGATCAAGGCTAAACTAGGTTGGAACATCATGATGCTTGAGGGGGCGGGCGCTCCCGCGCCACTCCGCCGCCGGCACCGGGCGGCGGGGCTGCTGCGCTGCCGCCGCCCGCGCCGCTCCAGTGGCCTCGCGAGGCGGGGAGGTGGCGCGGGACCTCGCGCCCACGGCGCGGAGGAGGAGGCGGCGGAGGCGGCGGAGGAGGAGGAGCAGGATGGAAGAGGAGGGAGGGAGGCACGAAAGGTGCCTGCTTCTTTCCCCCCCACGGGGGGGAGGAGGGGGGGGGGAGGAGGGGGGGTGGGAGGAGGGGGATGGGAGGAGGGGAGGAGGAGGGGGAGGAGGAGGAGGAGGAGGAGGAGGAGAGGAGGAGGAGGAGGAGGAGGAGGAGGAGAGGGTTTCGGCTGAGATACCTGCACACCTTTTTGTCTTGAAACCCTAGGCGGCGCCACTGCCGTGGCCGCGTACAAGATTCCCTTAGTTGGCGATTCCAAGCATAGGCGGTTGCGCGCCGAGCGAGCACGGAACAGAGCATTGCTGAGGGTGTACAAGGCAGGTCTAGCGTTGCGCAGCCATCACGCAACCCCAAGAGATCGGATGTGGCAATGTCCCTCATGTCACACACATCTTCCAGTTTCTCAGGCAGTATGCAGATGCGGGTACAACTGGTGCTCGCGCTCCAAGTCGCAGCCCATGCAGTCAAGGGAGAGGTCCAAGAGCAGAGACCCCTGGAACAAAGGCGACAAGGATACTGTGAATCAGCTCGTGGCGAAGATTGCGCCAGCTACCCCAGAGGTGGCGAGGTCGGAGGCCTTCAAGCATGTCTACGTGAAGGCGCCCCCGGCAGAGCAGAAGGATGCAGTGAACAAACATCGCAAAGATATCAAAGAGAAGATTCGCAATATCGGCATCCTCATCAAGGCTGCTGCCGCAGCGGATCGCCCTGCGAACGACGCGGACTGCAAGGAGATAGCTGTACTCAAATACATGTTGACGGAGAGTTCAGGATCAGAGAACCAGTTGTCCGAGGTCAAAATACAATTGGAAAAAGAGCAGGGTCATCTGCGCGAGATACAGCAGAAGGGGGCGGAGGTGCGCGAGAGGCGCATCCAGATAGAGAAAACCATCCGAAACATCCAGGAGACGATCGACCAGCTGACGAAGTCGAAGGACGAGGGTGGCACGGCCGAGAGCGCCGACACGGATATGCACAATGCAGAGGAGGGCGTTGGCAGGGCGCCTGGGAACCCTCATGCAGGCCTTGGGAGAGAGGCATCAGCATCTTCAGCGGCGCCAAAGGCAGCTGCGGCGGGCCACGCCGCGCCAGCTGTGCCAGAGAGCTCCAGAGAGATGGACTCGATCAAGGAGTGCCTCCAGCGTCTGACCGCGGCTCAGATGCAGCAGCAGAACCAACAGGAGGCCATGATGAGGCAGATTGGCAACTTCCACGGCCACCTGATGGACGAGGTGCGCATGATGATGAAGGCTGCCCCCTGGACAGCTCAGGGGCCGCGGTTGCCACAACAGGAGCCAGGGATGGGGAGTCAGCCATCGCCGACAACGCCGATGCAGGCAGGGCAGGTGCCAGGCGTATCGCCTACGTCTACGGCTGCGTCTACCCCCCCTGGATACCCGAACATATACGAGCAGACGCGGGCAGATTGGCATGCGGCGGGTATGGGGTTTCGACAGGCCCCGAGTCCAGCGGATGCGGGGATATTTTGGGACCCAAGCACGACCCCAGCCGACTCGGACGCTGCGGAATACCAGCACCAGCTGAGGATGGCCAGGTTCCACCCGATGTACCCCAGCCAGTCGGCGCAGAGGTCGCCGACGTTTCCCCCGGCGCCCTTCACGCCCGCGCAGCCGCAGATGGAGCCCGAAACGCCTGCGATAGCGCCTTGGGATTGCCCGACCCCGCAGTGCGACGTCCTGTGCACGCCGAAGGTCCCAGCGGGCGGCCCGTCTCAGGACGAGCCTCCGACGATCAGGGTGCCAACCTCAGCGTGCCCGACGGATGCGTGCGACAGGACCTTCGCCCAGATGCAGAACCCAGCGGCGGCGGCTGCAACACCGTCGCCAGCAGCGACGGCGGCAGCGGAGTTGACCCAAGCTTTCGCTGCAGCAAGCTTGGGAGGACAGGACGGAGGGGGAGGGCACGCACCTCAGGGCCCAGCGGCTCTGCAGGCGGCGCCCACGACCCCTGCGGCCAGGAAGCCACCAGTCACGCCATCTACGATTCCACCAGGGCAGCCTTCGCCAGCCTCGCCTCGCACCAGCATGGAGGCCTGCAGCAGCCGTGCGAGTCGCCGAGGGCGAAGGAGGCAGAGTCAGCGGCCGAACCTGCAGGATCGCCGAAGAGGGAGATCTTGAGGCGGATCACCAAGAAGAAAGAGGACCCGAGGGAAAACAGGCAGAAGGGCAGCGCTCACCCGCACAAAGGCAAGGGCGGCAAGGTGGTGATGGTCAAGGACAGGCCAGGAGCGGACAAGGGCTGGGAGACGATCGAGGAAGAGGACGCCCCCATCCCGTACCCGCAGCAGCCGACCCAGATGTCGCCGACACAGCCCTTCGTGCAGCCCGAGCAGGTGGAAGAGTGGCAGGGCCCGCTTTCTCCGTGACGGCGACGCCAGCACCGACGCCTACGGTTACGGGATCTCCATGGTCGCCTCAGTGCTTGCAGCCGTCACCGTGTCCAGTGCCGCCACAGTCAGCAGTTGTGATGTCGCCGGTGTTGGTGGAGGCGTCGCCGACCCCAGCGGCAGAGATGGTCGAGCCGTCGCAGATGACATCGCAGGAGATCAAGCAGCAGGTGGAAGCGATCGACCGTCGTCCAGCGGCCTAGCCGCGGCGGACTACAAGACGACGGTGGACCAGCGCGTGGAAGGCAGGTCGCCACCCCAGAAGTTGCAGCGGCAGGCGGACGCTATCGAGGAGTAGGTAGCTTTTCGTCGCATCTGTGGGGCGCGGCGCTCGCCGACACGCACTGCTCACCGCCTAGCCACGGCCAGCACAACGGGGATCGACCCGCACAGCTGGCAGGTGGCATCGGCGGCAGAGGGTACCGATCGGCGAGCGAAAATGTGGATGTGGTTGGGTCAGTTTACCACGTCACACAGCAGCTTAATTTGGTCACCAAAATTCTCACATCTTGGCCAGGTCAATCTTTCTTTGCAGACAATTTGGAGGACGAGGTCAGCTTGATGCAACAGCAGGCCCGTGCTTCAGGGAGTGACGGTGACGGCCATGAGGAGGGTGGGCCCCATGAGGGCCCTGGCTGCCACCCACGCTTTGGACCTTCTGGAGAGTTTGGAGGGCTAGTGATATCCGACTCCTCTTTCACGTTGCTCTATCCACGGTTTGTGGAGTTATCATCTGCCTGGGCCATTGAGGCGCGCATAATTGGCGAGGAGGCCGCACATGTCAACTTCTTGCATTGGGCAGTCCCAGCTGTTGTGCAGGAGATTTTCGCCCACCCAGTCTACGACCCCACGTGGAACCCATCAGCTCGGAGGTCGCCCGAGGTCACCGAGAGGATGCGGCAGTTTGCTACGCGTATGCTGAATCAGATCTGGCGTGGAGGGGCTGTAGAGAGGCGGAGTTTCGCCATCCGTCAAACTAGGGTGTGGCATGATGAGTCGCCCCAAGAGTGGGGCAAATCCCTCAATCGCACGTGCGAGGAGGTGTTTGTCGCGAGGGGGCGCCTGATGGCCATGGGGGGCCAGCGCCGCCCCCCAGACGCACGCAACATCAACGAGGAGGTGTTTGTCGCTCTCGCGAGGCAGATCGCGGAGCACATCAACCAGAATAGGCCCCCGGTGGCGCCTTTCTACGACCCGACGCCCCCTGGCATGGAGGAGGCGATCCTCGCAGGAGCGGCTGCGACGGGGACATGCACGGGAGGCGCCAGCGCCTCCTCTGGCAGCAGCGGGCCAGCTGCAGCACCTGCGAGGCCCCGAGGCGAGGAAGGGCATCATGACGCCCAGTCCTTGCTGCAGGTGAGCGCGAGGTGCACGCCGCAGAGGGTGGCTAGCGCTACTTCCCTGAGAGCATCCTCAGCATCGGTTTCCAGCGCGACGGCGCTATGCCCACCCTTCCCCATGGGTTGGGCAGAGAGCGCGCATGGAACTGATGAACGGTCGTCTCCGACGTTATACTCACCCTTCCCTTCGGATTGGGCAGAGAGCGCGCATGGAACTGATGAACGGTCGTCTCCGACGCTATACTCACCCTTCCCTGCGGGTCGGGCAGAGAGCGCGCATGAAGTACCTCCTCGTGGTTCATCGCGGGTGGCGACTCCGCGCAGGCTGGCTTCTTTGTCGACTGGGGGTTCGGCAAGGGAGAGTGCTGTCACTGCGCTGCTTGCGTGCCCGTTGTGAGCAACAATGTGAAACAAACAAAGCGAGTGCATTTTGCAGACTATATGGAGGGGCGGCAGCTCTACGATCCTGCCAAGCGCGCCGTGCGCTTGGAGAGGCTGCCCCCCGCACATTCAGTGCAGGAAGCTGCGCCGCAGCGAGCGGCGGAGTCGAGTTTTTTACGTCCAGAGAGGAACGCACGTGGCTGGGCAAGTTGGCCACGGCACCTCTCAGACGCCTGTTTTTGGCAAGGGGTTGCCCTCGCGTGCTTGTTATAATCCGAGCAAGCCGGAGGAAGGCTGCCACACTGATAATGTTCTAGCGTCGTTCACAGTTGCGCAAGACGCGCGGGAGGAAAGCCTGCGCAACCAAAGTGCCAGTGCCGAGCCAGCCGATCACGGGGGCCTGAGCGCAGCTGTCGGAGGGGGGACGGGGCCCCACGTGCGCGGGGAAGGGATGCCCAGCAGTGAGGTGCACACTTGCCCCCTTGGAGTCCGAGACCCCCTTCTCCAGAGAGCCGCCCCATGGTTGAGTCACCTTCAGTTGCAGTTAGATTTGGAGGGGATCAAGCTGCATCGCAATGCGCGCTCTGCTGTGAAGCCCGCCCCTGCGAAAGAGATGAGTCGAATCGAGAGCGTCGCCCTCTACCTTGACGGTCCCTGTCGGTTCACGCGGGGTTAGAACCAGCGTGGGGACTCGCGGTTGTTGGCCAGGGCGTGAACGGTTTCGCTTTTCTCGGGTTCGCTGGACAGAGACTTGAGGGGTCGATCCCAGGAGAGCTCATAGGTAGTAAGAAGTCAAGCGCTGTTGTGGAGATGGCTGGAATGATCTGGGCGATGCTATACGCCGCATGCTTCCCAGCCGACGTTCACGTCACCATCGAGGTTGATAATAAAACGGCTCTCAAGCTCACAGTCGGCGAGTACAGATCTAAGGAACATAGGGCCCTGGCAAGGGTCCTCAATCTGCTGTATGAGGAGTTCTGCAGGAGGGGAAGGATTGTGTGCAAGCATGTGCGAGCGCACCGAGGTCAGCCATGGGATGGGATGGCCGACTGTATAGCTAAGCATATCTGCAAGCACCCACCACCCGACCCCCCAGGCGAGCCCGTGCAGTTGCTATGCTATGAGCGTGGCCGTGAATGGGCGTGGGATGCGTCGCCGAGCAATCCTGACCGACACGCCTATCCCCCGACGGGGGCCAGCGGAGTCGAGTTCCACCGAAAGGCCCCAAGGGGCCAGATGGAGCATCTGGATCAGAAGTGCGGAGAGAAAAAGGTCAAGGCCCGAGTTGGCTTCACTGTGGCCACCCTCAGTGTGCTCACTCTCATGGATGAGGAGGAGGGGTACTGCAAGAATAAGGCCGCCAAAAAGAAAGAGGCCGCGGTGGCTAGAGCTGCGCGCCACAGAGCCCAGCTCAGGCAGTTAGGATGGCTGTTCGTGGGGGTGCAAGAAAGCCGTGCGCCCAAGCGACGCAAGGTCGCGGAGGATTTCCTGGTCCTGTCTTCGGGGCCTGAAAAGGGGAGTCTTGGGTGTGAGCATTACGTTAACCTGCAGGCTGTGTACGCGAAAGTTGGCGAGGTTGAACATCGGATCCAGCCCCGGCAGGTCCGCGTGCTGTATTCTGACCCCCGCGCCCTCATCGTGGCTGTGCAGGCCAAGTTTTTCGACGAAAATGTCGCTGCGTTGCATGCCCCACGCAGCAAGCACAAGCCGGAGGTGCGAAAGGCGTGGTGGGCCCACGCACGTCAATCGATGGCGCGATGGAAGCCGACCATCCTGCTTGCTGATGCGAACGCCCGCGTCGGCAGCGTTGACGATGAAGGAGCGGGTGGGGGGGGGGGGGTCTGCAACAGAAGGAGGATGATAACGGAGGAGATGTTCGGGAGTTGCTTGATCTTGAGGGCCATGCGGCTCTCAACGCGGTCTTGCCTCCCGAACAGGGGCGCACTTAAGTTTCGCATGCGGTCACCAGGCATCGACTGGACTATGTGACCACCAGTGTGGCCTGGCGGCAGTGCGCCAAGAAGGTCTGGGTGGATTACGCTTTTGGTTCTCAGCGACTCAAGGATGATCATTTCCCTGTCGTGCGTAGGTTTGGCCTTCGCTCGGGAGCTCAATGAGCGGCCAGTGTGTGCGTGGGAGGTCGGTGCTGAGGAGCATAGCGTGGCGGCGACTGAAACCATGTTGAACGCCGCTAAGAGGCACTTTGACCGGGACCCCTTTTACTCCCTTTAAGCCGTATGTCAGTAGGCAGGTCATGGGGCTCGTTAGGCCCCGCAGATGGGGGGTCAAGGTTTTCCGTGGGGTTAGACAGGGCAACTGGGAAATAGCACGTATCTTTGCGCGGTCTTTCGGGCCGCGAATCTCTGACTGCGCGCAGGCGCAGTGCGAGTGGAGCCTCCACGCGTGTTACCTGGAGGAAATATGCTCACAGGTTGTGGCGACGGTGTTGCCAGTTGCGCGCCTGGTTGATGCTATCCGCTTTTTCCTTGACCAGACCCGGCAGGTGCTGCGCGACTGCATCATGCGAGATCGCATCAGTAAAGTTGAGGACCTGGCGCAGGAACTGATGAGCAGTCGCGAGAGCGGAGACGCCAACAATGAGTGGCAGAAGGCCAAGAGGGCCATCGCCACTGGAGGTTTCGAGCAGGCCCGGTATAAAGGGGCGTATATTTTGCCTATCTATCGGGATGAACAAGGTCAGGTCCTCCGAGGGCCCCAGGAGTGGGACGAGGAGCTTCTGAGACACTTCTCCGAAATTGAGGGGGCTCGTAGGGCGCATTTCCAGGGGCTTGAGGACATCTATGATAAGACGGCTCGTAGGATGAGTACTGACTTTCAAGCGGTGATTGAGTATGTCCCCACCCGCGAGTGGCTCGCTGGGGCCATCCAAGGGGCCCCCAAGAGGAAGGTTGTGCCCAACGGGCTCTCGGTCGACGTGTTGGCCGCGGCCCCAGAGGCTGTGGCTCGGCACATTCAACCCTTGTTAGTTGAGGTCAGTCTTACGGGGTTTGAGCCGCCGCCCTGGAAGGGGACCCAGTCGCGCGGGCTGTTCAAAGGCAAGGGGGACTGGGGGGTGGCCAAGCACTTCAGGTCTACCACCCTGACCAATGCCGTGCCCAAGTTCCACGATGCCTTCCTCAGACAGTGCTTGAACGCCTTCATTGAGAGTCTGCTCAAAGACTCCCAGACTGGCGGTCGGAAAGGGAGAGGAACTGCGCTGTCCACCCACACGGTGTTGGCTTTCTTCCATCAGGCGCAGGCTGAGAAGTTCACGGCGGTGCTGCCGCTCGTGGACGTGGTCAGCGCGTTTTATAATATGATTCGGCAGTTCGTCGTTGATCTGCCCACGGATGAAGGGGAAAGGAGGAGCATCATTGATTCGGTCCCTATCAAAGAGTGGATGAGACCAACCCTCGAGCGGACGACGCAGTTGCCGCGCATCCTCGAGGGGACCCCCCCCGCACCTCAGTCGGCTGCTGAGCGAGAGCCAGAGAGCGACGTGGTTTCGGGTTGGCGAAGCATGTTGCGCCGCTGCCACGACCAAAGGCTCGTGGCCAGGCAATGCGCTTGCCGACTTTTTCTACAACACCCTTTTCGCTAGGACTCTGCACAACATCGAGAAATATTTAAGCGAGAAGGGTATGTTGTATGAGTTGAAAGAAGCCCAGGTCAGCACCCTGGCTGAGTCGGGGGACGAGCCCCCCCCCCCCCCTGGCCGACGCTGCCTATGCTGATGATGCGAATGTTCCCGTGGTGTGTAGGAGCAACTCTGATGTGCTGTGGGTTGCGCGAACGGTGTTCTCGGCCATTGTCACGCGCGTGGCCCAAGATGGCCTCGTCATCAGTTTCGTTGCGGGAAAATCGCAAGTGATGATCCAGGTCAACGGCAGAGACAAAGCGCGGTGTAAGCGCTTGTTGTCGGTTGAGTTGCGGGGCCAGATGTACATCCCAAGCTTGCAGGCAACGGTTGGGATGGTGGCCGCGCACAAGTCCCTCGGGACGCTGCTGGCTGCGGACGGGTCGATAGGGCCCGAGGTGGCCTATAGATGCGGCACTGCTAGAGCCATCACGGGAGCGATGTCTAGAACCGTTTTCAGAATGAGAGGGGTCTCTCTGGCGGCTAAGTTGCAGTACCATGCGGCTCTCATCGAGTCTAAGATTATACATAACGCGGAGACGTGGGGGCAGCTGAGTGAGAAAAGCAAGCAGCAGCTGGAGTCGGCTTATTACGGGTCCCTGAGACGTGCTGTCAAGTGTCAGAAGCGAAAGGATACCCTGTCGGACGCCGAGGTTTAGCTCACGTGCCAGCGGGCGCCTCTTGGGCGACTGATGGCGTATAGGGGACTCAAGTACCTTGTGCGTCTGCTTCGGCACGCCCCGCGTCAGCTTCTTTTGTTGCTCGACAGGCAGTGGGATGTCCGTGGCTCGTGGCCGCAACTGATAACATATGTCATCGCGTGGATTAGAAGGCATGCGGAGGAGGAGGCCACTCGAGCGTTGGGGGATTCTGTGGAAGCCGCGGTGGAAGTGGCCAGGGGCGGGCCTGAGTTCTTCCTCGCTTGTCTCCGCTCGGCCTGGAGGAGCTAGCTTGCCTGGGAGCGTGACCAGCTGAAGCTCGCGGAGTGGCGCAGGGCGCTCGCGGCGGAAGCTGAAGGCGGAAGCTTGCCCCCCCCTTTTTGCGAAGGTCAAGTCCCCTGGAGGCTACGTGTGCTACGAATGCGGCTACGCCGCCCGAACAAGACCGGGTGGAACATACATGTCGCTAAGGCCCACCCTGAGCTCGGGCAGGTTAATCGGTTTCTGTTCGGATCATGTTCCCCCGCCTGTGGGTGGGAATTTCACGCTAGGATGAGACTCGGCAAGCATTTGCGAAATAGAAGTGCGAGGTGTCTCACGGCGATTCGGGCGCTTTTCAGACCCATGGGGGAGGAGCAGGTTCTGGAGCTTCAGAGGCTTGACGCGCAGGAGAGCAAGGATCGTCGGCAGCGAGGCCTCTACCAGGAGAAGGCCCTGATCCCCGCCGCGAGGTCGACGACCCCACTGATCCCGCCCCAAGGCCCTGAGATGTGCGACCCCGTCGAGCCCCCCAGCGTCGTGGAGGTTCAGCAGGATGCCCAAGCTTTTTTAGGACGGCCAGAGCGTAGTAGGTTCCAGTGCTACTTGATCCTGCATTTGTCATCGGGTAGACGTCGGATGGGGGACCTGCAGGATTGGATCGAGCATTTCCAGACCCAAGCCCCCCAGGACAGGCCCGTCTGGACCCTGATCCTGGATGTGGCCAACGCGCCAGTGTTGGGGGACCTCGGCGTCGAAGGTACCATCGAGCACTGGCTGAAACTTGTGCGGGAGTTCTTGGTTGTCGGCTTGCACGGGGGCCCCCCGTGTGAGACTTGGAGCGCGGCCAGGTTCAACGGCAAGGGTCCCAGGCCGGTGAGATCCAGGGAGCTCCCTTGGGGCATTGAGTGCCTCACGAGTAAGGAAAGGAGACAAGTGGACCTCGGCAATGTGTTGCTGAGAACCATGTGTAGATTCTTGGTGGCGTGCGCGGGGCACGACACCCCCGCTATCATGGAACACCCGGCCGAGGCCCACTGGCGACCGCAGGCTCCCTCGTCGTGGTTGCTGGACGAGGTTCGATATATCCTGTCGTTGCCAGGAGCCGAGAAGGTGACGGTTGCTCAGTGCCTCTACGGATGTGAGTATGAGAAACCTAATACGTTTCTGACCATCCACCTTCCCTCTCTGGGGATAAAGGTCCGAGAAGGGCCTGGGGGGGGAGGTGCAACCATCCTGGTCGGCATCGTCAGGCCCTGGGCCGTGGAGAGATGGGGGAGTTCCGAACAGCTGCGTTGAAGGAATACCCCGCTGAGCTGTGCAATTTGCTCGCTCGATGTATGTGGGAAGGGGTCAAGGCCAGGACGAGGGTCGGCCCTAAGACTTGGGAGGTCCCTCAAAAGGCTCTCGGTTTTTTTATATCCCCCTTGACCCATACTGCGAGTTCGAGCGTAAGCATGACTGTGCCCGAAAGTGGGGCAGGGATGACAGCTCAAGCGAATCTGGCGGCGACCGCTAAACGGCGGCGGCGGGTGTGAGGAGGCCCCGCTTTGCGCCTTGGCGCGAGCCGCCGCCCGCCCGCACATTATCATCTTGCAAGTTGTATCCGATACGCTTCGAACATTCCTCATGCTGGAAACCGCAGAAACCGTAGGAGGAGGAGGAGGAGGAGCAGGAGGGAGGAGGAGAGTGGAGGAGGGAGGAGGGAGGAGCAGAAGGAGCAGGAGGAGCAGGACGAGGAGGAAGAGCAGGAGGAGCAGGGCGGCGGGGCGCCCGAAGGACCTGCACCGAGGCGCGCCAGGACGCTTCGCCACTGCTTGACCAGGGGCGCTCGCCAGGCCCCCGGACAGCCAAAACACGACTCGGGATGAAAGGCCGGCCTCGGGGAGAAGGTTGGGACTTCCGGGGGCCGCGTATTGAAAAATCAGGGCGTCGCACGTCCGGGGAGGCGGTCCGCACGCGCGCTCGGGCGGGCAGGGAGACGATAGGCGCCAATTGTCTGGCAGCAAGAGAGAGAAAACTAGTCTGCGACGTACCCAACCAATCGGCACCAAGGGATAATGCAAGGTGTGTTGACTATCCTGCCACAGCAACACTGCAAGAGACGGCGCACGGCGGGTATCTATATCGTGCGAAAAAAGCCATGAGGCATTACACTGGGGAGGAGAAGCACCATGAAAACATTGGGGTGGAAGAACAACTACCTCGGCTGAAGCATTGAGATGATGGAGCATGGGCGAGATGATGGGGTATGGGCGTGATGATGGAGCACTGCGCTGGCCCTCCAAGCAGCCTTCGAAAATGGAGAAAACTTCACACTTCGCAGCCCCCCAGGGATGGCGAGGTTCCCGTTTGGGTTCTGCGTGTGGCCCCACTGTGCGGGGTCCCCCAGCAGCCCTTTGAAGTGGCGACGATTCCACACTTCTCGGACCCCCAATGATGGCGAGGTCCGGTTGGAACTGCGTGTGGCCCCACTGTGCTGGGTCCCCCAGCAACTTTCGAAAATGGCGACCATTTCACACTTCGCAGCCTCCCAGAGATGGCGGGGTTTCGTTTGGATCTGCGTGGCACCCCACTGTGCTGCCGCGAAGTGGCGACAGTTTCACACTTCGCAGCCCCCCAAGGATGGCCAGGTCCCGTTTGGGTCTGCGTGTTGCTGAATTGTCCTGGCTCCCCAATCAGCCCTCACACTTCGCAGCCCCCCAGGGATGGCGAAGTCCCGTTTGCGTCTGCGTGTGGCCCCACTGTGCAGCCAGCAGCCCTCGAACGTGGCAACAATTTCACACTTCGCAGCCCCCCAGGGATGGCCAGGTCCCGTTCGGGTCTGCGTGTGGCCCCACTGTGCGTGCTCCCCCAGCAGCCCTCGAAAATGGCGACAGTTTCACACTTCCCAGCCCCTAAGGGGGCGGGGGCGGGGGCGAGGAGGAGGTGGAGACCCCACTGCTCAATTTCAAAACGATAACCCAACCAAGGGAGGGTTGAGAAACAGAGGGAGGGGCGGGCACGGGGCAGGGGAAGGGAGGGAGAGCGCTCACGCGGCGGCAGCCGCCGCTGAGCATCTGGGGCGGCCAGCCAGGGTTGCACCCCAGCAGGGAAGGTGAGCACAGTCAACCCGTACAAGAAGGACATGAAGTAAGGATGCAAGGGTCTTGGAAGGCCATGTCGACACTTTGCGAGCGGGGCGCGGTCAGCGGCAGCTGCCAGGGATGGGCCGAAGGGGAAGAATACGAAGGTGGCCCTGGAAAGTTGCTCATCCTTACTGTGCGGGTGGTGTGTAAGGCGAAAGGAGGGTGGGTGAGAGAGGAAGAATGAAGAACAAGGGGGCCTGACTGAACCATAACAGCCTGGAACGGAACACCGCCTCCTCCTCCAGGGGGCCGTAGTCGTTCATTCCCAGCGCGAGCTGCCATTCCACTGTGGTGTCCAACGCGGGACGAGACCCCCCCCCGCCACCTCAGCCCACTTGACCCCAACCTAGGATGCCCTTCGTCCTGGTGTCCCTTGGCACGCAAGCTACACTGAGGTCGGGTATGTCCTCCTACAGGTGGATTGTGTACGAAAAATTAAAATAGTCGAATCATGCACCAAACTATTCCAAACAAATCAAAACATCGTCCCCATATAATTCCTTCATTATTTTTTTACTAATCATCCTGTAGACTGTATATATGCATGCCCGATTTAAGGCTACGCGCTATACACCACACAAACGATTCTACAGCTCGGGGCACACAGCCTGACACGATGAATCCATAACAGATGACTCCAATCATCGCGGCCTGCCCAGTGAGGGCAAGCGAAGGACCTCTGAGGATTGCCCTGACCTGACACCGGCAGGACAAATCAGTCACATTTTGTCTGTGGTGGTGACGCCAATGTCACTACTATTGTGCTGTGTCGCCGGTGTCGCGACGGGGCCGCCATGCTCGACTTAGGCAAGCCGCCTGCACACAAAAACATTCGTCCAGTGCTCCTGTGCGCGGCAACCAGGACGATCTGCCACCACACATCGACAGTTGCCCCCGAACAGAATTTCTGTTCGGCACATTGCATATGATAGAATGCGCGGTCGTTGCAATTCCTACTAAGCCAGACCATTCAGATTGAGCTCAGCCACGGCGTTCCTAGCTGATGTTTACTCGTAACGCATCGAGCATGTCCTTCTAACCACCAAGACCTCAAACACTTGGGCACTGCTTCAAGGTGCAGCTTCAAGGTGTCGTTGGCGCCTGCCTGCTGGAGCTAATGTTTGCTTCAATGTGCACTGGCCGCCACTGCCACATGAAACTAGCAACATGCTCATGCCCATCGTTACCAACGACACGTGATCTTTGCCTACACCTCCGGGTCCAAAGGTTGTGTCCCGGTGGAGAAGGAGGATGTGCAGCTCAACACCGATGTCAGAACGATACGTTTCTGTTCCTGTCCATTTTGCGGCGGATGCCATGCGGGGAAGACAAATTAGCAAAACAGCGGCAACAGAACAAGCGCATGGTACGCTATTCTTGCGCGTGCTTCGTTCGCGTGCTTCGTTCGACTCGGCTGCTGTCTGCGTGACGCGTGGGCAACAGCATCCGCCCACATATCGCCTGACGGTCGGACTGTCTGCAAGGTGAAAACATGAATTCCGAAACACCTACGTACTCTGGCCGACCAGCTCTGAAGAACATAATTTGGATGAGACATAGTTAACCAGGCACTGCTGCAAGGAACCTTGCGTAGGGAGCCAAGCCTCTTTTTGACTCCGTTCGCGCTCAATTGCACGGGGGGCTCCAGAGCGATGACCCAAGGAGGGGCCTCAAGAATCCCTGGCCCCGCTGCGAAACCCAAATGGCCCTTTCTTCGAGGCTTGGACCGGCGCGACCGGCTCAGGAGTGATGACCCAAAGAGGGGCATTAGGAATACCGAGCCCCGCTGCGAAACCAAGGTGGCCCCTGCTCCGAGGCTTGGGCCGTGTGTCGGGCTCATCGGAGCGAAGAGGAGGAGGAGGAGGAGGAGGAGGAGGAGGAGGAGGAGGAGGAGGAGAGGGAAAGCAGGAGGAGGAAAGGAGGAGAAGAAGGAGGAGGAGGAGGAGGACGAGGAAGAGCAGGAGGACGACGACCAGGACGAGGAAGAGCAGGAGGAGGACGAGCAGGAGGAGCAGGAAGAGCAGGAGGACGAGAAGGAGGAGAAAGACGAGACGAGAGCGAGGGGCTTTCGCCCACGCGAACCCACTCCTCCGATGAGGGAAGGGCAAAGGGGGTGGTGCTAACCAGGCGTCGGTGGTGGGGGGGCAATGCTTCTAGCCTGGCCGGTGGTTCCAAGGTGGTGTCCTGGGGAGTGGACCTCAAAGGTAAAGGGGCCCTACCACGAAAAACCTTCTTCCTCCTGCTCCTCCATCCCCTCCCCTCCTTCTCCTCCTCCTCCTCCTCCTCCTCCTCATCGTCCTCCTCTCCTACTCCTCTCCTCCTCCTCCTCCTCCTCCTCCTCTCCTCCTCCTCCTCCTCTCCTCATCCTCATCTCATCATCTCATCCTCATCCTCATCCTCATCCTCATCCTCATCCTCATCCTCATCCTCATCCTCATCCTCATCCTCATCCTCATCCTCATCCTCATCATCATCATCATCATCATCATCATCATCATCATCATCATCAGCATCATCATCATCATCATCGTCATCGTCATCGTCATCGTCATCGTCATCATCATCATCCCCTTCCTCCCGCTCCTCCTCCTCCTCCCCCCCACCACCTCGCCGCGTCGTGCCGTCGAGAAGCAGAAGGCGGCACGAGCACGTGCCGTCGAAGAGCAAACGGGTGGCATGGGCTTCAGCGTTGGTGTGAGAACGTCTCGCGCTCCATCGCAAAACCGTCGAAGCCTAAGAAACCCAGGGCACCCTGGAGGCAAGCAGGGTGTTTCTCGGCATGGGTCTGCACTGTAAGCGGGGTCCAAGTATTCGGGGTCGGAGGATCTCGCCGCATCGCCAGTGCATCCGCGATGCATCGGCGATGCATCGCCGATGCCTCGGCGACGTCAGCGATGCATCGGTGCCATCGGCGTGGAGATATTCTGGCTCCACATCGAGCCGCATCGTCGATGCCTCGGCAATGCGGAGCGATCCTCAGACCCCATCTGCTCCGACCCCATCTGAGAGGCCC